AACCTCCTCCCTTTTCCTCCGCAATGCCATCCTCCCTCTTACCATCCTCCCTCTTACCATCTACCCTCTTACCATCCTCCCTCTTACCATCCTCCCTCTTACCATCCCCCCTCTTACCATCCCCCCTCTTACCATCCTGCCTACGCTTGCAGCGACGCATGCATGCCCATGCTCTGACAGAATCCCCGTTGCCGCTATCTCAACAGCAACAGCCCTGCTGTTTCACCTAAGCACACTGAGCCGTGTGCATCTCTACTCCCATTCACCCCTCATGAGATTAGTCGAGTTTCGGGATGTCTCGAAGCTATCTCAACGGTAACAGCCCTGCTGTTTCACCGCAGCGCACTGAGCCGTGTGGCTCTCTACTCCCATTCACCCCTCATGCTCCTCGCCTTTCTGACCCGTCTCCCCTCCCCCCCGTATTCCTGCCTCGGCTGAACCCACGTAGGTGAATCTGATCCGAAGCTTGCTGCAGCAGGAGGCGATTTGTTAGCCGACTCAATAATCCCCTTCTGTCGTCTCCCCACCTCCCCTTCTCCCCTCCCCCAACACCCCTGCCAACCCACGTAGGTGAATCTGATCCGAAGCTTGCTGCAGCAGAAGGCGCAGGGTGGGGGAGGGGAGGGGAGCAGGGCAGTAGGTGGAGTGGTAGTGGTGGATGAGGTGGAAGTGAAGACTGTTGATGGCTTTCAGGGCAGGGAGAAGGAGGTGAGCATGGGAAGAGGAGGAGGAGGTGAGGAGAGGAGGAGGAGGCCGAGTGAATGACCCTATGGCCGAGTGAATGACCCTATGGCCGAGTGAATGACCCTATGGCCGAGTGAATGACCCTATGGCCGAGTGAATGACCCTATGGCCGAGTGAATGACCCTATGGCCGAGTGAATGACCCTATGGCCGAGTGAATGACCCTATGGCCGAGTGAATGACCCTGTGGCCGAGTGAATGACCCTGTGGCCGAGTGGATGACCCAATGGCCGAGTGAATGACCCTGTGGCCGAGTGGATGACCCAATGGCCGAGTGAATGACCCTGTTGCCTAGTGGATGATCCCACGGCCGAGTGGATGACCCTCTGGCCGAGTGAACAACCCTGTGGCCGAGTGGATGACCCCATGGCCGAGTGAATGACTCCATGGCCGAGTAAATGACCCTATGGCCGACTTTCCGAACCCACCACCCCACCATCCCCCTCTCGCCCCTCCCCCGCCAGGTTGATCCTAGTGTCAAATGTCCGCTCCAACCCCGAGGGGCGCATCGGCTTTGTGGCAGACGGGCAGTGCCTGTACGTGGCGGTCACGCGCAATAAAAGAGGCCTCCTAGTCGTCGGCATCCAGGCAACTCAAACTCCACATTCCTCTCTCTGCCCTACTGCCCCTATGTCACCACTTCCACCTCCTTCCCATCCCTTTCCCCGCCCTCTCTTTTGTCTCCCCACCAGGTGATCATAGTGTCAACTGTCCGCTCCAACCCCGAGGGGCGCATTGGCTTTGTCGCAGATGCGCGGCGCCTAAACGTGGCTGTCACCCGCGCCAAGAGAGGCCTCATAGTCGTTGGCAGCCAGGCCACTCTCACTTGCCACCCCCTCTGGTCGCTCTGGCTGCAGCACCTGCACCACCTTCAAGCTTCGTCGTGGCAGGGCCAGTAGCTTCTGCTGCTACTGGGCCAGCGCCAGCAGCCGTGACACGGTGCCACTCTCACCTGCCACCCCTTCTGGTCGCTCTGGCTGCACCACCTGCACCAATTTCAAGCTTCTTCGCAGCAGGGGCAACAGCTTCTGTAGCTTCTGGTGCTACTGGACCGGCGATACCTTTTGCTGCTGGCTAGGAAGGGCTCTGGCTCCCCCACCTGCAGCACCTGCAGACCTCTTTCCAACAGGGGCACTAGCTTTTGCTGCTGCTTAGTACCAGCTGTGTCTCTTCCTCGGACTGGGACTGGGGCTGGACTGGACTACCCCCAGCAGTAGCAAAACGTGTGTCCAGTGGAATCGATTCTCCGAGGCCCAAGAGCTGATCCCAACCCGACTCCTGCCACCGTCCCCACTGGCTGCGCTGATAGGGCCGCACTTGCAGCCCCGACTTCATGATTCTAGAGAGTGCAGCGGTGGCTTTTCCAGTTGACTTTTGGAATGGTTCAAACATAGCATTGTCTCCTGCTCAATGTGCACCTCTCCGGTGCACAATGGGCTTTGAGCCCAAGACCTTTGGCTGCCTTGGGCTTGGGAGCTCAGTCACTAAAAACTAAAACAGAAGGGCTTGTAAAGTAGCAGGTAGTGTACCCCATAACACCTCAGGCTCTGCACCTGTGATTCTTCCCCCAGGATTTCAAGGGCAATCCCAGCGGGTCTCCCAACACCCCCCCTCACTGGGATAGGCGGGAGACCTTGCACCTCTACCGATGCAATGTCACCTCTACCGGTGCACACTCTAGGAATTGAACCCAAATCTTTTGGCTCTGACAACATATTAAAATGGCTTGTTTTGTAGTGGGTAAGTGCGCCCATAACCCCCCAGGCTCTGCACCTGTGACCCTTCCCCGAGGACCAAGGGCAACCCAGCGTGTATATTGACATGCTGTACATTCAATTGCATTTCTGTACATTCGCACATTCACATGGCCACTAAGACAGCTGTAAGTGTGATTCAAGGGGCTGTGGCAGATAAAAGATTGCCAATGCTAAGCAGGTGCCCCCTCCAGCAGCCCTTCTACCAGTTCCCATCCCATGGGACCAGTCGCAGAGGTGAGTTCTCTGTAACCAAGCATGATTCCAAGTGGGGCAGGCACACCTGGAGTGCCCCCTCCAGGAGCAGCAGCCCTTCTACCAGCTCCCATCTCTTCCCATGGGAGGGACTAGCCGGGACTCGGGAGCACGTGTTCTCCAGGTGGGGCGGGCGGGCGCACCTCTGAGCGGAGTGCAGTTCTCCTCACAGCTCGTGAGCCACAACAAGCAGCCGTTACCGTTCTAGAGCAGCGGCCCTGACTTGCTCTACCTCAGTGTAGCCTGCTGAGGCGCGTTGCAAGCAACACGAGGGGAGGACGCAGCCAGAGGCAGAGGGCATCGACCGGGGATTATTTTTTAGTAGACTAGAAAATCATATGCCGCCCTGACTGGCTCTACCTCAGTGTAGCCTGCTGAGGTGTGTTGCAAGCAACACGGGGGGAGGATGCAGCCAGAGGCAGAGGGGGGCGACCAGGATGTGTCTTCAAGCGGGTACAAGGCCTTCGCAGGGCTTGCCTTGATGCAAGCTGTTCTGCATTTCCTCCCTTCATCCCTCCTCCTCCTACTCCTGCTGCTGCTGCTGGTTCTCCCACATCGCCTATCTTGCTTTGGTTACCAGCTGCCTGGTGCTCCAGTGACAAGGGCAGCAGCAGTGGCTGCACACACGGCACATCCTCCTTGTGAGGTACTCCATCTGCCAGCAGCAGAGACTCGCTCTCCAACGACTCGCTCTCCAACGACTCGCTCTCCACTTCCCTTGTGCCGCCACTGCTCTCGTGCACCCCTTCCCTGGTCAACACCGCAGCAGCAGCAGCAGCAGCAGCACCACCACCACCACTGCAGCTATTACCCCAAGCACCATCATCGTCAACAACACCAGCAGCAGCAGCAGCAGGAGGAGCAGGAGCAGCAGTGGGAGTGCAGTGGGGGGCAAGCAGGTCATCGCTACTTGCACTGTCCATGAGAATCACGAGCCCCTCCTGGGCCAACCCTGCCTCACCAACGCTCACTCCCATCTGTGTCCTCCTCTCCACCGCGCCTGCTGTACCCTCCCCTGCCACTCCCCCTGCAACTCCCACTTCCCCTGCCACTCCCCCTGCCACTCCCCCTCCCCCTCCCGCTGCCACTCCCTTTGCCATGGCCTCTGCACCTGATCCTGGCACTGCTGCCTCCACCCCGTCCAAACTGCCTGCTGAGACACTCCCATCCAAGCCAGTCAATCTGAAGCACAAGGAGAAAGAGCGACGGTGAGTAATAATATAACTGAAGGGAAACTGCATGCAAACCCGAAACACCCAACCAACACTTCCCTGAAAATTCCTCCCATTTGCTCCTCCCCACTCCCTGCTCCCCCCTCCCCCTCCCTTCGCCACCACCCCACCCTCCACTCGCACACCCTCACCCTCCTCCACATACTTTTTCCCAAGCAACAAGTATGTTATCACATGAGCAACAAAGACAAAAACCGTGTGTCATGAGTCTGCTTTCGAGTCGACTCAAAAGCACCCTCACCCTCCTCCACATAGTATCTCTACCTAAGAACTACTGGAATGCTGCAGAAGGCTGCGCTTGTGCCCATCTATCAATCCAGACATGGTTCACAAGCGCTCACCTGTGCTCCTCCTCTTGAAGCGCATCCGCTAGTGCCACCTCCATCAAGCGGATCCCCACCCGCCCTCCCCTTAGCCTCCTCCTCCCCCTCCTGAGCCTTCCCAGCGTCCTGCTGCCTTTCCTACTGCTGCCCTCCCAACTGCTGCCATTCACGCTGCCCACCTGTCCATCTCTGCACCCACCCCCACACTCTCCACTACAATTCCTCTCACCTCTCCCATCCTCCTCGTCCTCATCTCTCGTTTCCTCTTCCCACTCCTCTCCCTCTTCCCACCCCTCTCCCTCTTCCCACTCCTCTCCATCCTCTCCCTCCTCTTTCTCCTCTCCCTCCTCACTGTACTCCGATTCCCAATCCTCTGAACCGCTGCTACTCTCTTCACACACCTCCCTCGTTCCCACTCCCTCCTCCCCATTCCCTCTCTCGAATCCCCATACAGCCACGCCCAGTCCAAGCCCCGTCTCTGCCTGGTGTCCCTTGTCCTCTTCCCCTGTCTCCTCCCTTATCCCTGCTTGGCTCTGTTCTCCCCCATGCCCCACCCCTCCCCCTCGCCCCAGCTCTCCAGCCAGCACGGGACGAGACCCCGTTTCACTGGCTTCAGCACGGGACGAGACCTCTCCTGCCCACACCCCCTCCACCGCGTCCCCTATCAGCTCCTCCACGCCTCTCCTCACCTCCTCGTCGCTGCATGCCTGCTCCGCTGCCTCTCCCCTCGCCTCTCCCCTCGCCTCCCCCCTCGCCTCTCCCCTCGACTCTCCCCTCGCCTCTCCCCTCGCCTCTCCCCTCGCCTCTCCCCTCGCCTCTCCCCTAGCCTCTCCCCTCGCCTCTCCCCTCGCCTCTCCCCTCGCCTCTCCCCTCGCCTCTCCCCTCGCCTCTCCCCTCGCCTCTCCCCCCGCCTCTCCCCTCGCCTCTCCCCTCGCCTCTCCCCTCGTCTCAACAGGCCCTTCCTCTTGTGCCTTTCCCCGCGATTCGGAACCCGCTTGCTCCCGCGGGGTGCATGCTACCCTCCCCGTTTCAGCAGTGGTAGGAGCAAGACGAGAAGTAGCTGACTCCCACGGGTCATAGCGCCTCCTGCTGCTGCTGCTGCTGCTGCTACTGCTGCTGCTGCTGTCTCTACTGCTGCTGCCGGCCTGTGCTGCCTGGGAGTCATCGCTGCGCATGTCACCGCTGCACGTCCCTCTGCTGCTGCTCAAACCCTCGTCACCCACACCACCCCCCATGCCACCACCCATCCCACATCTAGCACCGGTGCCCTCCCCAGCACAGGCAGCACCGTTCCTTCCATTGCCTATGTCTTCAGTACTGCTGCTGCAGCTGATGCTGGTGCTCGTGCTGATGCTGCTGCTGCTGCTGCTGCTGGTGCTGCCTCTGATGTCTGAGTGACCCAGGTTCCCACATCCCCCTATTCGTCCACTCTCCACTGAACAACCTTCCTTACTCCCCTCTCCATCCAAGTGGGTGGTAGCACTGCCACTTCTGCAGCTGCTGACACTGCTGCTATTGTCCCTGCTGCTCCTCCTGCAGCAGCTGCTGCTGCCGCTACTGATGCCGTTGCTGTAGCTTGCACTCGCACTCTCCTTCCTCCCCTCCCGCATCGCCTCCTTCCTACCCTCGCTGCCCTCATTTCCCCCCTGTTGTTGCTTTAGCTGCTGCTGCTTCACCTGCTGCTGATTCCATTGCTGCGCCTGCAGCTGTCGCTCTGTCCGCCCCATGGCACAACACCTCACATCCACCTCTCCCACCGACTTTATCTCCCCACCACAACCAATACCACCGCCAATACCACAACCAATACCGCCACCAATACCACGACCAATACCGCCACCAATACCACAACCAATACCGCCACCAATACCACAACCAATACTGCCACCAATACCACAACCAATACCGCCACCAAGTCTACCACCGAGACTACCACCACCACCTAACGCTCCCTCCACTTTCTTTCCTTCACCCCTCTCCCCCACTCCCTCCCCTCGTCCCTTGTTCCCCTTCCCTTTCCCATCATCCACGCCACCACACCTTCCGCCCTTCCCCCTAGACGCCCTCACCCTACTCCCTCCACCATCCCAACCCCCCTCCACAGCACCCCCCCCTTTCTTCCCTCCGCCACTCTCTCCCCGTCCTCCACCCCCCCCTCCTTCTCCCCACCCGCCCCTATTTCCCTCATCCACCCTTCCCTTCCCCACCACCCCTCCCAGCCTACCCCTTCTGCCCAGCCCACTCTCCCCTAGGAACACCACCCGTCTCACAGGACCCACACATGCTCCTACTCGACCCATGCCCACTCCACCTCCTTCCCATCTACCCACCCTTTGCATCCCAACACCCTGCCATTCACCCCTGTACCCACCCCTCCCCCCACTATTGCTCCCCTTCCCATCTCCCCGCGCCTTCCCGCCTGCCTCTCTCTCCCCCCTCCTCCTCTGCGCCTGCTCTCCCGGTGCCACACGCACTGCTGCGACTGCTGCAACCGGTGCAATCGCTGCAACTGCTTCTCCAGTCTGCGCGAGAGCCAGTGCCTTGTGTGGCTTGTGTGCCTCGTTTGCCTCCTGTGCCTCCTGTGCCTCATGTGACTCTTCTGCCTCCTGTGCGTCACGTGCTGCTGCCCGCCTCTCTGCGTGCTTCTCTTCCCGCTCAGCTCGCCTCTGCAGCTCTGCTACCAGCTCTGGCAGCCCTGGCACCGCTGGCAGCCCAGCCACCCCTGCTGACCCGGCTGACTGCCTCTGCGCCTGCTGGCCCATGGCATCGCTGCGCTGCTGCCTCGTCGCCCCACCTCCCTGCTGCCCCACACTGCCACCATCCACGGACCTACCACCCCGTGCAGCAGCAGCCGCAGCACCAGCCACAGCAGCAGCAGCAGCAGCAGCAGCAGCATCCGTAGGGGAACCAGCAGGAAAACCAGCAGGGCAGACTGCAGGGCAGTAAGCATCAAGGGAAGGGTCATCCCCTGCCATCCCAGCGTGCAGCAGCAGCTGTTGAGCCAGGGTGGCTATCACCTGGTCCTTCCTACCTGCCTCACTCCACAGCTCCACCAGCCCTCTCCCCGCCGCTCCTGCTGCCTGCACTATCGCTGCCTCCTTGCCTCTCACCCGCCGCTCCAGCTCCCTCCCTCGCCCGGACAACCCTACGCCTGGCCACCCCATGCCACCAGACATAACCCCAGCTGCCGCTGCTGCTACTGCCTGTACCCTCTGCTCCTGCTGCTTCTGCATATGCTTCTGACCCTGTTTCTCTTCCTCCCTGTGCTGCCTCGTGCTCTGCATCCGTTGCTGCCCCTGCCGCCCCCCCAGCAACTTCTCTGCTCCTCCCCCCTCTACCCTCTCCCCTCCCCTTCCTCCACCGCTCCCACCCACCTCCACCACCTCAACCTCCTTCCCACTCCTCCGCACCCCCCCTCCCCACCTCCCCTCCTTCTCCTCCAGCTCTCGCCCCAGCCTCCCCACCACTTCCCTCTGCCTCTCTATCTCCTCCCTAAGCCTCTCCTTCTCTGCCTGCCTCACACGTATCCGCTCCTCCCTCTCCCCTATCTCCCTCTCTAACCTCCTCTCATACGCCGCCGCCCACGCATGCGCCTCTCTCTCACCCCCTCTCCAGCCGTGCTGCTGCCCGAGGTCTAGCCCTCCCTCATCTGTCCCTGGTGATTCCCTCCCATCGCCCATTCCCAGCGCTGCCGCGGTCGGCTTTTGAGTCGACTCAAATGCGTGCTGCTGCTGCGGGGGGTCTAACCCTCTATCACCTGTTCCCGGTGATTCCCCCCCATCCTCCATCCCCAGCCCTGCCGCTATCCCCCTGCAAATCCGCCAGCCTTCACCCCCGGTACCACCCCCACCGCCATAACCTTCCCCTCCTCCCCTCCCCCCTTCCAATCCCCCGTCTCCACCACACGCCCCATCCACCGCACCTATCTCAGCACCAGCTGCACTCCCCTCAATCGCTTCAGTTCGCCCAACCACGATCGCCGCCTCAGGGCATTCCCTAGGTGATTTTTGAGGCGACACAAAAATCGCCTCAGGGCATTCCCTAGGTGATTTTTGAGGCGACACAAAAATCGCCTCAGGGCATTCCCGAGGCACTGCCCCTATTCCAGCCGCCAGAGTCACTTCACTGGAGTCCAACGTTCCATACGAGCTCTCACCTCCCCCCTGGCCCTCTCTCTCCTCTCCTCGCCGCTCCCTGCTTTCCTCTCCCCCTTCTCCCCCCCCCTCTCCGTGACTGTCGCCAGTCCCACTCCCCAGCCTCAGTTTCCAACCCATTTCCCAGAAGCCCACCGGATTTTCACTTCTATTTGACCCCCAGAAACCCGTAAATTCCGCACCACCACCAGCATCATCACTCCCCCTCCCTGCCGCACCTGTCAACCTAACACCACAACTACCACTACTCCTCTCATCATCCTCCCTCCTCGCACCTCTCTCCTCCAGTCGCCGCAACCTCTCTTCCAGTTCCCTCACAGCCTTTCGCTGCCGTTCCTCTAGCTCCTCTCTCTCTGCTGCTGCTTCCCTTGCCACGCGTCTTAACTCGCGCTCGTAGGTCGTAGAGGCCAGATCCACTAATCGCCTCTGAACCACTAACTCGCCTCTCAATCTCTCTATAGTCTCGATTCGCGCCTCCAGCTCCATTCCCAGCGTCTCCCGTTCTTTAACTAGCGAGCCTACTATCGTGTGGCTTTTGCTGCTGAGACTGCTGCTGCTGCCGCTGCTGCTGCTGGTGGTTGGTTTGGGGGACGAGGCGGCAGCGATGGCAGTGGTGGAACCATCGTCAGCAGCAGAATCAGCACCATCAGCAGCAGCAGCATACGCATTAGCAGCAGCAGGGGGGGGGGGAGCAGTGCGCAGTGCAAGAGGAGGGGGATCTGGCAGGGAGCATCTCTTCTGCGCCATGAACTCTCTGATCCGCGCTATGAACTCCCCGTACCTCTCCTCTCCTCCTACCCTCGCTGCACTTGCCGCACTTCCACCTCTCACCCAACCATCTCCCCTCCCTTCAACCCCAGCCTCGGCCCCAGCCCCACCCTTCGCCTCTCCTCCACCCATCCCTGTCGCGTCCTTGCCTCCCTCCACGCCTTTCCTTGCATTCTCCCTCTCCGCCTCTTCCTTCCCCCCCTGCTTTTCTCTTTCAGAGCCCGCCGGTAGAGGCACCTCAAATCCCATTCCTGGCCCCTCCGCATCCCTTGAAGGCCCTTCCTCCCTCCATCTCGCCATTTCCCTGATCCTCACAAGAGCCTTTCCCCCCTCGCCCTCCCCGCTCCTCTCCCTCTCCCTCTCCCTCGTTTTCTCTCGCTTCCTCTCTCTCTCCCTCATCGCCCCCCTCGCCTTCTCTCGCTCCCCCAGCATTCGTTGGAAGGTCGCTTCGCCTGATCCCCTGCCACGAACATCCACGCCACTGCCACTGCCACTGCCACTGCCACTGCCACTGCCACTGCCACTGCCACTGCCACTGCGGTTGCCATGGCTGTTAGCACTACCGTTAGCACTACCGTTAGCGCCACCATGGCCACCATCAGAAGCAGCACCATCGCCAGCGGCAGTTTGGGCTGTGCCTCCTCCGCCAACCCCATTCCCTCCCGCTCCGCCTTCCGCCTTCCCCTCCGCCATACTTTCCCCAACCCTTCTTCCCCCCCCCCTTATGTCTGCCCCGAAGCCCCCCACTCCGCCGCCGCCCTCTCCCCTTACATCTCGCCGCCCTCTTCCGCCGTTGCGCCCCCGCCATCGTTGCGCTGCGCTCTGCTCTTCCCCGCGCAGCACGCGGTAGAGTTCCGCGTACGTATCTAACCGCGACACCACCCGCTCTATATCCTCTATAAACGCGCGGCTTCCCCCGTCCCCGCGATTTCCCCCGCCGACAAGGCTTGTCCCCCCGCTGGTACTGCCCTCGCGGCTGGTCCCACCGCCGATGTACAGCGGACCTTCGCTCCCCGCAAGGCTCCCCGCAACCCCCCCCGCAAGCCCCCCAGCGGGCATCCTCCCGCTCGGCGTGGAATCCGCGCTCATCTTGTCCTCGATAGGCGCGCCAGCATACACGCAGGCTCCGTTACAAGCAGCCCCGATGGCGACAGCGTCGCTGGGGAAAGCACTGCCCAGTCGCGGAAGGCGGAGCGACGGGTGGGCGCGCGGGGGAAGATGGGGACGTAGGGGAGAAGGCTGTTGTGTGTTACTTTTCTTCCGCCTGGTGGCGGTGGTAGCGCGGCTGGCGAGGGCCGTGTCGGAACGAGGAAGGAAAGAACGCACGAACGTAAACTTCGTTAGAGTCGACTCAATAGCGAACGCCCAAATATTTTCTCCTTGAAAAGTGCCGCGTGCTCGCCTTGCGTGACGCTCGCTACTGATGTTCGGTGCCTCCGGGAACGGAGTGCACGAGTCGTTATGGGGTCAGAGTAGTCAGGAATCGTTAACTGAGTCGTTATAGTGTGAATAAAGTAGCCAGCGGAGATTAACTAGTCCAGAAGGTCACTAAGGCATGCGTGCTTCGGGTGATTAGTGCGGAATACTGTCAGTCACAGTAGCTTCGTCAGGTTCAGTCAATCAGACGGTGTCTACTGCTCAACACTAGCAGCATTGCAGCTAAGCTATCGGCCTAACTCTTCAGCTAACCTGAGCCCAACCTAATAACCAGCCAACGCTCTATTGCCGTCCTTGGAATGTACATACATGCCCTGGCTTCTTTTGATACACATCACATGGTTCTGTCTGTCAGCATGGCTGCCTAACTCAAGTCGAGTGGGACTGTGGGGCTCCTGCTGCTGAGCGCCAGTCTGACCAGCCGCTTCCTTGGCCTTGTTTTCCGCGCGCGTCTGCTCCGCTCTGCCACGGTTTTCCCGCCCCCTTTCGCGTCACCTTACCCGTTTGACGAATAGACGACAGTGCGAGGTTGCTCGCATACGTCGTCCGCGCGCAGGTTTCCAGAGTATATTTTAAAAGCGAAATTCCTAACGACCCACGGGGTTACATGATGCTCGTACATCCCTGTCGTGCTTCGCAGACAACCTGCGCGTTTTCTTGACTGCCTGATTCTTATCGCGGACCGCCATGTCAGTCTTGACCCATGACCTCGTTTTTGTGTTCTCGCAAACCTGGCGAGGGCATATACACTCCTCCTGAAACACAAGGATGGTTTACACACCCACCAGGTGCATTAATATTTAGTAGTGTGGCGTTACACTATCGTAGCTTGTTATGAATAATAACTGAGTGCACGGAATAATAATGACGAGTACAAGAATGGGAGCCTAGCAATATATAGTGGGGACTCTAGCTAGGCGACGAGACCGGAGGGCTAGGTTGGGTACAGGCGCAGTCGAAAGGCTCGGAGGCGGCGCGAGCCAGACTCGGGGTTGCTTCGGGTTCGGACCGAGCCTGGTCTTCAGAGTTCGGGTGCACGCGATTGCAGTACGACCCGGTAAGGAATTCAATTCCTTCCATAGCTCATCAAATTTAGTTGTGTGGAATCTTGTACTACATTGGTAATCGTAGCTGAAATATAATATAATTGCATAAGGTTACATGATTAAGCTCCTCATTGTTGGGCTGAGAAAAGCCCTTAGGATCTTTACAGAGACTAAGTCCCAGTTGTACAAGATACTTGAGTAGTGCAGCGGAAGTTTAAGTAGTTGAACCCTTTGTCAAACATGTGTAGTTATCATGTTTGTATAGACTGTATAGGGTCACCTTCTAGAGAGTACAATATTTAGGTATATGTTTGTGTACTCTCTCTCTCACATTATTCAATTCTAGGTTTGATATGGTATCACGAGTAGGTTTCGACCCCCCCCCCCCCCCCCCCACCTACCGCTTCCGCTCCTCCCGTCGCGTCTCCTAGCCTCGCCTCGCCCCTCCTGAGCCCAGTCGCGACCCCTCCCCCTAGCCCCGTCGCGCCCCTTCCAGGGCCTCGTAGCGCCCCTCCAGGCCCCGTCGCGCCCCCCTTCCAGGGCTTCGTAACGCCCCTCCAGGCCCCCGTCGCGCCCCTCCAGGGCTCTGTAGCGCCCCTCCAGGGCCCCGTCGCGCCCCCTAGCGCCCCTCCTGGGCCCCGTAGCGCCCCTCCAGGGCCCCGTCGCGCCCCTTCGCGCCCCTCCTGGGCCCCGTAGCGCCCCTCCAGGGCCCCGTCGCGCCCCTTAGCGCCCCTCCTGGGCCCCGTCGCGCTCCTCACAGGCCCCGTAGCGCCCCGTAGCGCCCCTCCTGGGCCTCGTCGCGCCCCTCCTGGGCTTCGTAGCGCCCCTCCTGGGCTTCGTAACGCCCCTCCCAGGCCCCGTCGCGCCCCTCCTGGGCTTCGTAGCGCCCCTACTGAGACCCGTCGCGCCCTCCCTGGGCCCTGTAGCGCCCCTCCTGGGCCCCGTCGTGCCCCTCCCAGGCCCCGTCGCGCCCCTCCTAGGCCCGTAGTGCCCCTCCTGGGCCCGTAGCGCCCCTCCTGGGCCCCCCCCCATTGCGCCCCTCCTGGGCCCCGCCGCGCCCCTCCTGGGCCCCCATTGCGCCCCTCCTGGGCCCGTAGCGCCCCTCCTGGGCCTGTTGCGCCCCTCCTGGGCCCTGCCGCGCTCCTCCCTGGGCCCCGTATCCACCCTCCTGGGCCCTGTCGCCCCTGCTCGGCCCCGTCGCCCCTGCTCGGCCCCGTCGCCCCAGCTCGGCCCTGTCGCGGCCTCTCGGCCCCGTGGCGCCCGCCCTGCCCCTGTCGCAGCTGCCCGGCCCCTGTCGCACCTGCCCGGCCCCGTCGCGCCCGCCCGGCCCCGTCGCCCCCGCCCGGCCCTGCTGTGTCCTGCCCGGCCCCGTCGCTGCCGCCCGGCCCTGTCGCTGCCGCCCGGCCTCGTAGCTGCCGCCCGGCCCTGTCGCTGCCGCCCGGCCTCGTAGCTGCCGCCCGGCCTTGTCGCTGCCGCCCGGCCCCGTCGCAGCCGCCCGGCCCCGTCGCAGCCGCCCGGCCCCGTCGCAGCCGCCCGGCCCCGTCGCAGCCGCCCGGCCTCGTAGCTGCCGCCCGGCCTTGTCGCTGCCGCCCGGCCCCGTCGCAGCCGCCCGGCCCCGTCGCGCCTGCCCGGCCTCGACGTGCCTGCCCGGCCCCGTCGCGCCTGCCCGGCCCTGTCGCGCCTGCCCCGGCCCTCCATACTTCCTGGTACTGTCCCCCGTTCCCCGCACCACTTTGCACCCTCCTGCACTTTCCTGCCCCGCCTTGCACCGCATTGCACCTCACTGAACCGCACTGACCGCACTGCACCGCACTGAACCGCACTGCACCGCACTGCATCGCACTGCACCGCACTGGACCGCACTGCACCGCCCTGCACCGCACTGCACAGCACTACACCGCACTCCACTGTCCTCCACTGCCCCTCATGGCTGCTGAGCTTCGTTTTGATGCTGAGGGTCAGCCTCTGGAGTTCGAGGCGTGGTTGGCTGACCTTCGCCGCCACCTCACTGGTCAGCGGCAGGACGGCCACCCGCTTTCTGCACACCTAGACGGTATGCTCCCCTGCCCTGACCCCCCTGCTGTGCTGCCTGCTGATCCCACGCCCGCTGAGCGCGAGTCCACTGCCGCCGCTGCCCTTGCCCGCTCTGTCTGGCTTTCCCGCGATGCCCTTGCTCAGCTCGCCATTAGCAATGCCCTCCCCCCCCTTGAGTGCCCTCGCTTTAGAACCATTACTACCGCCCAGGCCTACCTCGATGCTGTCATCAAGCGCTATTCTACCCCTCCTGCTGCCTCAGTGGGTCGCCTGATCCTCCCCCTGCTCTTTCCTGACCTGGCGTCCTTCCCCACTGTCTCTGACCTTGCTGCCCACCTGCGCTCGATAGATGAGGCCTGGCGCGCTGCCTGCACTGATGCACAGCTTAGAGTCCACCAGCCTCCCATGACCTCTACCCTCTACCTCCTTGCCACCCGCCTCCCTGACCGCCTTGCCGCCGCCCGCGACCAGTTCCTTAGCATCCACCCTGCTGCTCTCACCCTCACCGACTTTGTTGACACCCTGACTGCCATAGAGACTCGTCACCGCTCCATAGCCCAGGCGAGCGGTACAGTACCGGTCCCTATCTTTCAGGGTTGTGCCCCCGCTCAGTGTACCTTCTCCGACGGCTCTGTCACTGTGGCTGAGACTGCTGCTGCAGTGCAGTCCCGCTCGGGGAAGGGCCGCTGCCCCAAGGTTGGGAGCGGCGGAGGTGGCGGGGGTGCGGGTGGGGGTAGTGGTGGAGGCGGGTCGTCCGGTGCCGGTGCGGACGTGGGGACCCTGCCCGGTCCAGCTGCCCCGCTGCCTCCACCGTTGCAGCAGCCGCAGCAGCAGCAGCCTCCGCAGCAGCCGCAGCAGCCGCCGCAGACGAGGCCGGCGAGTGCTCTCCCGCCTGGGTGGCCTGGAGCTGGTGGTGGTCGTGCGCGTGGTGGTGCACCGGGTGGTGGTTCTGGAGGCGGGCCCTGTCAGTACCAGATCCAGACCGGTCCTCGCCGCGGCTTCGTTTGCGGTAAGATCGGTCATTCCACTCCTCGCTGTTTTCGTCGTCTGGACGACCTGTTCCGCCAGCGCTTTGGCCCGGCGCCCGACCTCCCGGACTGGCACAGCTTGCTTAGGCGTAGCATTCGGATTTTTGACTTGGACATGGATGCCATTGTAGCAGCCTTGCATGTGATGTATGCCGATGACTGTAGTGTGCTTCCCTCTTATTACCCCGTGTTGCCTAGTGTAGCTGTGCCTAGCATAGACTCCCCTGCTGCGTCAGGCGTAGGATCTCCTGCTTTGCTTAGCCTCGGTGCTTCCACCGCTTCACTGTCGCCCCGCGCGACTGCTGCGCTTTCCTTCACCTTGGACTCTGGCGCCTCCCGGTGTTTCTTCCGCGACTCCACGACGCTGACGCCGCTGCCTGTTCCTGCTGCAGTTACTCTTGCTGACCCCTCCGGTGGTCCCGTCTTTGCCCGCAGTTCCACCTCCCTTCCCTGTCCGGCGGTTCCTTCAGGTTCGCTCACTGGTCTGCATATCCCCTCGTTCTCCAGGAACCTAGTTGGTGTCGGCTGCCTCCAGGACCTTGGCGTCACCACTACGTTCCCTGGTCACGAGCGGTATGCTGTCTGTACCGAGGCCGCCACTGGTGCCCCCCTTACCACTTTCCCCCGGGACCCGGTGTCCGGCCTGTTCACACTTGACACCGCGACGTCCCCGGCTGGGTCTTCCCCCCAGGTAGCTGCGTCCACCCAGGTTGCTGCTGCGTGCCCCTGTCGGTCCCTCACTCATCCGACTCTCCTTTGGCACCACCGCCTTGGTCACCCTGCACTCCCGCGTCTGCGTCACATGTCCCAGCACGGTCTCGTCCTTGGTCTCCCCGGTTCGTTCCCTGAGTTTCCCTCATCCCCCGCCCCACCGTGCACGCCTTGTGTCGAGGGCCGGCTCCGCCGTGCCCCTCACTCCTCCTCTTTTCCCCCTACCACCGCACCCCTGCAGACTCTGCACATGGACGTCTGGGGCCCAGCCCCGGTCCATGGGCCGCGTCGCGAGCGCTTCTTCCTAGTTCTTGTCGACGACTTCACACGTTACACCACCGTCTTTCCCCTGGAGCGGAAGGCCGACGTGCCTGACGTTCTCATCCCCTGGCTTGTCTCTGCTCGTCTCCACCGCGGTCTCCCTGCCTTGCGCCTCCACTCCGACCGGGGTGGCGAGTTT